ACAGAAACAATGACATATTAAAAGTTGTAGTTTACTGTCTAAACTAGTTTCTAGACACTACTTTCTGAACAATGTCTCTCTTGTTTGCTACAACTTAACAGTATCTACAGTCTTTGTCTTTAAGTACTGCTGATTTAAATATGTACTGTTTACTAAACTTTTCTTGCATTTTAAATTCTTCTGTTTTTGCCAATTCTAAAATCTTGTAAATTTTTATTTATTTTATTTTAGGGGAAATAGAAGAAATAGATTTAATCTTTCCACTTTTTTTTGTTTTGTTTCAAATGGATAATCGAAGAGAGAGAAAAAAAGAGGACTTAATAATAAGAAATTGTTGCATTTAATGAATGGGCAAGTCGTTGAAGCTGTAAAGTGTATAATTATAGTACGTTCTCGTCGTCGAGAGTCCAGTTTGAATGACGAAAATGGCGAACAGAATTCCAAATGCTCATCGGCGACAAATCCGATGCTTAACCGTAGTTATCCAAACGTTTTTGAGGGTAGTCAGTTTACACCGATGCAACCGGGTTCTTATGTTCAACCAATGCCGAACTCATGCAAGTTTTTTTTATTTTTTTATTTTCCGCCGTTATTTCATATTGACCGTGAACACTTCGACAACAGCATTCCTCTCCACCTCTTAAGTTTTATTGCCAATAATCATCAAGTTTATGAAAGTACACGTACACATAAGCCAAAGGATTTTTTCCACATTTTAGGTGGCTCAAGTTCTGGACGACTTCGAACAGCTGTAGTTGGTCCACGTACTGTCGGCAGGGAATATGATGAAGAATTTGCTGTATATTCAGACGATGTTGTCAACAGTAACTGTTTGCTATTTTTCCTCTTTTTTTCTTCTGTTGTTCTGTTTTTGAATTTTGTTAGCCTATGATTAGAAGGAATGGATCTGTGGTGCTTACTTATTACCGTGAAATGATGGATGTTGGTGGAACTGAAAAATTTTTATAAGCGTTACATAGCGTTTCATTTATGTGCTTTATTTGAAAAAATTTTATAATTTTTAGGGATGAGTAGATCGTTGTATGAAAATAGTTGTGATTTTGGTTACAATCAATCAACGCCGAAACGTCGTGATCGCTCAACGGGACCTTATCGGCATAGCGTACAAGGATTAGATGGTTAGAAATATTGTTTTATTTTTATGTGCAAAAAATGGGGACAAAAGAAAGGAGGGGTAAGGGGGGAGGGGGAGTAGGGGAGAAAGTGCTGTTTAGAGCAAAAGTTATAACAAATTATTCTAATTATCACACTATTAGCTGTTGGTTTTGGTCATTCACTGTAATTAACAGCTGTTAAAGGAAAAATTTTATCTGTGCCAAAAGTGTCAGTGAAGGAAGGATGAAGGGAGAGTGAAGAAGAAAAAAAAGTGAATGAGGAAATGAATGAATAAGGGAATAGGCAATAGGATTTTTTATTGAATATTCGCTGCTTTTCTGCTTCACAATGCCATATTCTGCTGTTGCTTTCATTTTTTTCTAGTCTTTTTGTTGATTTCGATTAATGCTTTTTGTCCAAAATTTAATTTTTGTTTGTTTGCTTGTTTTTTTTTTCATTTCGTTATTTTTTAAGCAGTTAACATTGGAAATGTGATATGCAGAAACAAAACAAAAAAAAGAGAAGGAAAGAAAAAGAGAGGGGAAAAAATGAGCAGAAGAAAAAAAAAGAAATCTTATTTTCTACTTCTTTTTTCCTTATGAAATTCATCTTTTTTCTTTAATTGTATCAAAGTAATGCTTACGTATATATGGATTCAACATTGTCACAGACAATTGACGACAACATTTGATGTATTTATATTTTGTGTGTGTGTGTGTCTGTGTGTGTGTGTATGTGTGTGTTCATCCCATTTCGATGCTTACGGTGTTATTTGTTTTCAAAACGAGCATCTGAAGTCGTCAGTCAGGTTGATGTATAGTGATGATGGCGATAGTAGTGTGATGATGATTATGATGATGACGACGACGACGATGATATTGGGTATTGGTGGTTGATATCGCATGAATAACCTTGAACAATATATATAATGTACAGATATCTGACTGATCATACAAAATCTATTTCAAATTGGTTATGTATAATGATTGGCTTCTGAAACTGTTCGTTCGTTTTTGAAACCAAATTTTTTTGCTGCTCAATTGTTTATTAGGCGATTAATTTTTAAGTGTTATGATACTACTATACGATGGTTATGAATTGTGCCGGCAGAAAGAAAAAAAGCTTTTTTTCTATCTTTTTTCTATTTCTTTCTTTTTTTTTCTACACTCC